ATAGCCGCAGTAGTAGCAAGAGCACCCGAAATAAAACCCATGGGCCTGACCCTCTGAAGCAACATGTTGAGCACTCGTTTCCCTAATCCCCGACGAACCCAAGACATGAAATAAAACCTATGGGACAAAAGGCACATGACTTGAAATGAGAAATCTATCCAAAATAAAATGTCAGGTCTGAGCCCCTCGGTTTGATTTCCAGCCATCGGACCCCTATATTGTATTTAGGGTTGTATTCTATAGGGAGCAACAGCAAGTGTAGACGTCGTAATCGGAGCCCCAGCAGCAGCAGAAACAGTAAGCGTCCTCATAGTAACAGTAGAAGCCGGGGCAGTTGGTAGTAGCAGTGGGTGCTGCCATGCAATAATCTGAAAGGAATTTGCAGTGACAGCGAAATTGACGTGACCAAAAGATGAAAAGATCTTGCTTCAATATCCTCAATAACAAGCAGACACAAGAAATCAAGAAAGCTTTGGTAGGTTCCTGCTGGATAGGAAACACTCTGGACTCAAGCCCAGTCTCACAGAGCGTCTAGGTGAAGCTGGGTATCGCATAAGCTTTGCCGCTTGCGAAGCTCGAAAACGAAAGCCATCTACAGTGGCTGAACAATTACGGTGAACAATAACAAATTGCTGGTTGATTGTTGCCATTTCCAAAGCAACTTTCTGTGATGGTTGGTGTCTGCGCTGAGGTCACTGCCAGATGAAAATGAGAACCGGAGCATCAGCTTAGCTGGAACTGGGAACTGTCTAGAAACCTAACCACAGAAGAAGCATCAAGCTAGAAAAAAACGACCAGCCCCCCTCAGACAACTTATACGATCTTACATGAACTTCCACTGCGCATCCATGGAACCTGGCAGGCTCCAGGGGCAATCGCCAAGTTGAAAGCATAGCAGTTCAAACGATCTGCAAGCACGAGGCAAAAAGATTTGCCACTTCAACCCCGAGACTGTCAGCTTGCCTCGGACCGCAAGTGCACCAGCTGCGTGCGAAAATTCCGCATCTTGAGTACAGAAGGTCGCGGCATTTGCATGAGCTCCTGCCGCTTGACTGTAGTCCGCGCAATAGCAGGCCACATACGGCCCAGCCTGGCCATGCCAAAAAATTGGAACGAAACGAAATTAGCTGGCACTGTAGTTTCTAGCATTTTGTAGCACCGAGGCCAGATGGACTGCATGAGGGGGAGCTCAACTTAACCTTCACTAGGTCTCTCGAAAAATGTTGCCGCGTTTGCAATACGTCTGAGATACTCTGAGATCCTTAGCTGGTTAGTCGTCTGCATCTTGTGCTCATCTGCATCTTGTGTTGAGCATTGCTGAACAGGATTGTAGTGAGTGCTGTTGGCATTGCCTCATGGCACTCAAAGAAGAGATTACGTGCAGAGGGTTGGCAGGTGGAAATTCCCATCTGGGCCTCACTCGCCTCACCGAGGTCAAAAGTGCGGTAGCTCGCATTGCCGCTTGCAGCCGCTGCGCGGCTTGTCGCAAAGTCGCTAGGCACACCGGAGCCGCAGAGGCCTGAAGCCTGGACCATCTGCACGTGACTGTCACCTGAACTACAGGAAAAAACCACCGACAGTCCGGCAATGGAATATGTTGGCTCAGGCCCATGCCGTCCAGCAAAAAGCCATGCCTCACATTCACATATGCAGGTCACAACTGGCTTGCATGCATCCCGTGCAGCCCAATAACCAGGCACAGGCAGTGAAAACTGTCTTGGATGCAAGCAAGGCTCGCATCAACAGAGCAGGCCACGTCCTATGAAATCTTGTCTTGGACATCATCATGCTAAAGGTAGTCACCCAAGCAGCAAGGCAAAAGTTTGCGAAGCTAATCAAAAAGATCGCTGGCCTCCGGGCTCGAGGCACCACCCTAAACCCTAAACCCAGGAGCACTGCATTACAAACCTATTACATCATGAAAGGCACTACATTATAGCCTGCATCATTGAGCTGACTTCAGGAGCAACACCCAGGATGTGATGGGCCTACATAATTACGGGCACCAGGTAAATAATTCAACAACGGAAAACTAAATCCAAAACAACATCGAAAATGAAATGGACACAGGGCAGTGTAGAGCATTTATCCCGAACTCAGTAATGACCAAAATTTGCATCCCGCCACACGTGTCCTTGACACAGTCGTAGCTTTGCCCACCATAAGCTCCACGCACTTCCAGTGTGCCAGCCTCTGGTCAAGAGTGTCATCGAAGTGCTCAAGGAAACCGCACGGTTTGGAAGTCTTGGGAATCTTTGCCCAGGTGCCTCGTGTGTGAAGTCAGAGTCAGATGAGCAGTTCAATGAATCCTCGTCGGGGCCATCATAGGATGCGCAATAACCTCAGCCCAGTTCCAGCAACAAGCACAGGTCTGGCCATTCCTCATCTCCGACATCAAAAGACATATCAAGACATGTCAAGACACAAGGCTGTGACATGGTGCACTGGGACTAGGACAAACAGTGAAAAGCGTTGGCGTTGTGAACGCAAATCCAAGCGAGAAGGTTCGCAGAATGTCGGACCCAGGGCCAGCCGTGGAGGGGAAGTCCGCCACGGCGCTTGCAGACCCACAAGTCGACCCGAAGGTGACGACCCGGACTCTATCCTTGGCTTCTGCTGTGTCAGACTCTTCCACAGAAGTCTTCAAGGATTCATCTCACGACTGTGCAGGTGCAAAACGCTCCAAGCATCGCCGTCGCGAAGGTAAATCCCGGAAACCGCTGCTGCACACGGACTGCCGCGGTGGCACCGGTAGGTCTCCGTGCCATTGGCTCCAGGCACGGTCAGCGTGGCAGCTTGATGTGAGAAGTCTCCATCGTTGCAGCTGCCAAGTGGTGGGATGTCATCTCTGGTGTCAAACCTGGGATACACAGCTATTGTGTTCAACCATGACAGCAGCCCAAAAAATTCTAACAAAGACGTATGCAGCTAGGTCGCCTTGCGCAATAGCAGATTGTGTAAACACCCTCGCTCAAGGCCAATCCCAATTCGAAAGACCGCGAGAGCCCAAAGCCAGACAGCGATCCGACTCGAACCGCCTAACAAATTCGGGTCTCGACCAGTAGCAGACTTTTGTTTGGAAACATTTGGAAGATGAGAGACCATGCTCTCAAGATGACACATCCCTGATCAAACCACATCGTCGCCTCTGCCGCCCCTGTTGCGGGGGCAGCGCCCTGCGCACAAGCACTGCCGTCAGCGCTGAAAGCCATCACGGAGACCTGCCAACTCACAAGGCTGCCTTCAACCTTCAAAAGTTGAGACATGTACAAGGCCTACTGACACTGTCCGCATGCTGGAAGCAGTGGAGGGACTTCAGAAAGCTCAACAGCATAATCTGGCTTTGTGGGCATGATGCCTCATCATCCGGATGGAGTCCAAAACCAGAAAGTGTGAAGCTGCAGCGTGTGTTCTTCACGCACTCGAACGCCTCACCTCCGACCACTCCATGTACCTAATGCAAAGTGACGAAAAGCATCTTGGGTGGCATCTCGCATGGGCAGAGAATTTATGAAAGGACTGTAATGTAAATACAGAGATAGTCTTCTTGGATCAAACGCTGACACGTTTCAATGAGGGCTCCCGCAGAGTGGGTAAATTCCATGTCGCTATCGCAGGCGGTAAAGCTCCCCGATTCGGCATCATAATGGTTCGTCCTGAAAGCTGTTGGATTCATCTAAGAGCACAACCTGTCTCTCGTCTGTCCTTTGAGAGGTGTCATAGCTTGCACAGTAACAGATTTCATACCTTCCGCCGCTCTGGGCGATTCCCAAACTGAAGACCTCAGATCAAGCAGACAGCTCCTCTCCTCAATGTCTCAAAGTTTTTTTTGCGTGCCTGCTCGTCTGACCAGGTGTCACCACCGCCACTGGCCTCGACCATGCACCGTGTCTCATCTGGAAGGCTGGACTAAGTACTGCTAGTGAGCTGCCGAATGCTGCCAGTAATTGAAGATCTTCTTTCACATGTTTCAGAAGACAAGTTTGATCAACAAGGCTTATCCACACGGAAAGCTCAAGACCCCTCGGCCTGCGGTCTTGGGCTTCCAAAGTCGGACACCGCGGCAGCAGTCCCGCAGCGCCCGCCAAATGAAATGGGCCTGGAATGCCGATTATCAGAATGTAAGTCTTGCTTTCTTGCTGGACTTACAGCAGCACGTCATACATTTGAACAGCATGGCGCTTACAAGCACTGCAGCATGTTCTAGTCTCCACTTGTGTACAGCAGCCAGGCAGCTGTACATGGTCTCCGGCTTGGAGCATACCCCCCGTGACATTGAAGGTGCAGATCGCACCCTGGCCAATGAAGACATGTGGGTTGGAGCAACTTAGCTTGAAACACGCCCTCCTAGCTGGGCCCAGACTGGAGGCCTAGAAACATGTCCTGACACCTACTTTGACTGTTCACGACCTCCCGAGATCCGAGCACAGGTGGAACAAGCAAGCTCGAGTGAATTTGCTCCTAGGAGACAAATTCCACTAGGCACGCAGAAAAAGATCACCTTTTTGCCTGCACCGGCAGCAACACTGCACTGTACAGGGTCTACCTGCCCAAAAGAAGTGAGGGCAAGCAAGGTGAATGGTACGTTTTACATTATGTCAATGTAAGCTGAGAGCATAGCACTTGGAGATCCCAATTTTTGCGATAGCCAGGCTCACGCCCTCGCCTCCGCGGGGTTCACCGGGTGGAGGCCTGGTCTCTTTACAATCGCCTTTTGGGTCACCAGAGCTGCCCCAGCCTGTACGGGTTCTCTGCACCACAAAGAGAAGAGGTGCTGCTGAGCAGTCATGCATGATTCTGCCTGGGTGGCCCCGTTAAGAGCTCGCGACTTCACTTCAAACTTCTAACACACTTCAGGGGGAGGGTTTAGGGCCGCGCGTTTCTCTCCATTAGAAAGAAAGCTCACGCCCAAACCCCAAAAGGACGCCCAGGCCAGCTTTGACTTAGTCGGATCTACAAACATTTTGCGTCCCAAAAGCGTCTCAAGCATATCGAACACATCATACCTGGGAGTATCGAAAGGCTCTGAAGGGCAAAGTCTCTGCCCTCCTGCAGCTCCTCGATGATGGCGCCGAGAGCACGAGGCCGGCTTCCAGGTCCGGGATCTGTGCAGCCTCCTTCTTCTCCTCCTTATCCTTTTCCTCCTTCTTCTGTGCGTCCGCGATCTGTGCAGTGTTCTTGGTAGGATCCTCTGCGGCCATGCTGGGCTTGGGCTTTTGAGGCATGATCCAACCACAGAACACCGCGGTGAAGGGATCGACGACTATGAAGTCCAGGAAGATTGCGAAAAGGATGGAGGTAGCCCAGGTCGCCAACATCGAGTTCCAGGAGTCGAGACTGAAAAGGCCGGCATAGTGCATGCATACAGCCCATGGCCAGTGAGTCAAATAGATGGTGTAGGACAGCTTCAGCATTGAAGCCGCCAATTGGCAGCTACCTTTTGTGAGGCTCAAGAGCAACCGGAAGGAATTGCAATCGCAGCTGACCAGCACAACCAGGATCAGCTGCAGGGGACCGGTAGCCAGGTTGTTGAAGGCAATGAGCGCATCCACATATGGCAGGCCAGTCTTTGGTAGAAAGTGCGTGCAGCCAAGCAGAACCAGGATTAGGAAATCCGACAGCACCCAAATGTGCCACTTTCTGACCCAAGCTGGGAGCGTGGTCCGCACCGTTATCTGCTGCAAAATGGCCCCCATGAAGGGGACCCAGATCTGCGTGGGACTCCAAAGATGGATAATCCGCCCGTAAGCCTGCAAGTCTTGGGTCAACTGCTCGAGAACCAGCAGCACCACACAAGCCACAGCAGTCCGCAGCAAGTAGAGGAAGGCCAGAGCAACCAGCAGGTGCCGAACACTCTGTCTCCGTGTCCATCTCAAGAAGAACGGAGAGACGTAGTGGTAGGTCAGCAGTGTGGAGAGGAACCACAGTGGGCGGTTTGCGGTCCAAAAGGTAAGGAATGGATTCCAGCCGCCAACAGTCAGAATCTCCAAGACATACTGCAAGAGGTTGCGCCAACTCTGGTATTCCAGGACCAAGGGCAGGGCCGTAAAGCACACAGCCACGATGTACGGTGGGATTAAGCGTGCCACCTTCTTCCGCATGTGGTCAGCCCAGGTCGCATCCTTCCAGGTGGCTGAGGATAACCATCCTGAGATTAACATCATGCCCATCATGAGCTCAACCCCATGGTCGATGGTCGAGTAGGGCAGGTAGTGGGATACATGCACGCGGTGGTTTGGAGCTTTCAGCAATGACTGATGGAAGCCCACCAATCCGAGGATGTAGAAGGCCTTCACGCGGTCGAAGCTTACCACAGCCTTGGAACCCTCAGGTCGGAAGGAGGCGAGCGTGCGTCCCTCCATGGCTGGCAAGGCAAAGGAGGCGCGGGGTGGACGGCTGGTTTCCGACTGAAAGCAAAACACCTTTACAGCATGAAAGTCGCAAGGCTGTCACCAAAGGCTATCTCAAAGACCAAAGACATGCAGCTATCACTCCAGGTGGCACAACCGGCAACTCCGCCTTGACACAGTGGAAGATGTCGGCCGATTCGGCACCAGAGACCCTGAGTAGACCTGCAGGCTTTGGATCAAAACGGCCTCCCACGATCTGCGCATGGCTAGGAATCTGAATGGGGTCACTACGCCCATTGTTCGAAACAAGCACGGCCGGATAATCAGAGAATCATTTGGATTATAGGGTCTGCGTGCTTCGCTCAATACCATCCCAGCCTGCATCCTGGCAGTATTCTGAATTGGAGTTGCACTTGGACACGTCGGAATCATCCGAGGAGTCATAGGCGGGGCAGAAGCAGACGAGGAAGCTTCCCTCCTGCCCGCTGCTGGGTTCACAGCGGGGTAGGAAGGTTCCTCTTGATGTCTAGAACTACATTCACCGAAGCTGCTGCGTACGCTCGCCAACAAAAGAACAGCCTTATACCGCAATGGCGCCTTGTAAGCCACACCGAATTCGAATACGCGTTGAGTTGAGGAGGCCAGTAGCACGCTTGCCGAACTTGGATGTTCTTGACAGCATGGCAGTTTGACATGCTCTCAGACAGACAAGCAAAATAGATTTTCGTTGCACATGCCCACACCAACTGAAACAAGATACGTGCCTGCAAGTCTGCAAGCTGAAGACAAATCATGACAAATCCCCAGCACTAACCCTCGAAAGTCTCCAAACCCACCAAGCTGCATCCGCCCATTTGGGAAAGTTTCGACAAAGGAGACGTCTGCTCCACAAGTGCTGCCGGCTGGCAAAAGTCTCAGATGCAGCTTCTGCAAACAACGCTGAAGCATCGAACTCTGTTCTAGGACAGCAACTCGCCCGACCTTTCAAAGAAGCGTGACAGAACATGGCCTATGTCTATGTCTATTTCGGCCAGGATGCTGGACCCGATGTGACTCGGCGAGAGCCTGGGTTTGTTGCTTGTGCGTCAAAGCATGCATTCCAAACTGACCTCCAGCAAAGCACGACTGTGGCACCCCTGTGATCTGTAGCAGTTTTGGTCTGCCTGTTATTCCCCACATGTCCACTATATCCTTGTATTACCACATAGTAGTTTCCATTTTCTTTGCTAATGTCCCTATCTTACCTGTATGTTAAACCTATATTTCCCCCATATTCCCTTGCCCTCTAGGAACCCTAAACCCTAATCCCTAATCCCTGAACCCTAAACCTATATGTCAATATTCCTCATACCCTAAGCCTTTAACCCTAAACCCCTAATAGCCACGACAATCCCTGCGGCAAGGCCACGGTGCCCGACACGGCAATGGCGCATGCTACGTCTTTGACGCAGCGGAAGCTTTGGCCAGACCTTCAGCAAGGAAACATGTGAGCTGTAGTCTAAACACCTTAAACAGGGTCATATGGGGGATTATGTAGGGGACTACTATAGGGGTTATTCAGCGGGATACTAGGAGTTTAGACTATAGCTCATGTAGGGTTAGTATGGGTTAGTAGGGAAAATGGACTGTAAGTGAGGGCACTATGGGGAAATAAAGGGCTGGCTTCAAAAAATGCTTGCGGAACATCCAAATGCGAGTTGCTCCAGGCCTTAAGCACAGCCCTCTCTGCTTGTGTGCTCGACTATCCTACACCGTGGGCTGCGCGGCTAGCTGGGCCACCCAGCGTCGCCCCGTAGGTCGATGGGCAAAACGCCACCGCGGTGCCGAGCACTAAGGCTAAGCGCAGCACGAGCCTCAGACTTCAGGATACAGGGTGGGACTCTGCTAACTGCATCCTGCGGACTTCTCCAGCTGGCCCCAGAGTAGATCTCGGCAAGCGCACTGTGCCCTCACCTATCGCCTACCCATATTGAAAGCCCAGGGTCGCTATCATTGCAGTCTATACACGAGGACCATGACGCAGCTCGCCTGCAGGTCCTTCCGAGGAAGGGATTCAAAGCATAGCATTTCTCGTGAAGCAATCACCACAGAACCTACCCCGAATGCTCTGTGTGGCATCTAGGACTCACTGGTCCTCGAAGCCCACTGCTGACATAGAGGAGATGTGAACCCCTCTTGCATGGCGCGCCATATGCAAGCTTGGACTACAAGCAATATTCCGACGGGATTACTTGCAGAAAGGAGAGGCGAGTCTATCCCGACCGTATGACCGTTGGCCTGGGTCATGGTCAGAAACATTGAAAATGCAAGACGATCTTCTTCAACCCATGGCAAGACTGTGAGCCACGAGGTGTCTTGATTTCAACAAAAACTCCAGCTCAACTACCGTTACACGACTGCTAAAATGCCTCAATAGCGTCAGACCCCGCCCTGTAGCAGGCACTACGTCACCAGCTTGCAGCTTGCAGCATGCTTGTGTTGCACTGTAATTGGCCCTGGAACCAGACAGCTCGGCAGCAACAGCATCCACATCCCCATGCATCCCCCAACAGAGGACAGAAGCCTCTCTTTGCTTTGTCGGATTAGTCCTTCCAAAGCCCTGGACCCGGTGCCTGCATCACGTGTTAAGCAGAGCCTCTATGCTTGCCAACACAACCCCACTCACACAGCAAGGCGCAGCACCTTCGATTAGGATAACGTAGCCCCGCAGCAAAGAAAACTAATAATACCCTATGTCGCTCTGATGCCTGTACATACTCACAACCTGGTGACACTCTGATATTGCAGCAAAGGGGTTATGCTATGTGCGATCCGGGCAGCAGCAGCAGCAACAGCAGCAACAGCAGCAACAGCAGCAACAGCAGCAACAGCAGCAACAGCAGCAACAGCAGCAGCAGGCTCCTCAAAGAAGCAGCAACTACAGGAGCAGCAGTGACCGCGGCAGCAACCGTAGACACAAAATTTGCAGTAGAGCCATCAGCATAACTGGAGCGGAACTGCCGGTAATTGGCGGCGTTGGTGATCCCGCTGGCTTGAACCATCAAAGTTCCTACTTGTCACATAAACAACTGCATTCGGGTACATGTTCAGAGCCGAATGCATTCTTCCAGGCCATTACAGAACAATGCCGTAATTCTGATGGCTGTCCATCTGGTGCCCCATCCCTGTCACAAGGGGCCCTGGCGCGTTCCACATCTTGTAGGCCTGTCTCGACAAAAGCCTGCAGCACCTGCGGCTTGGACGTGGCCTCGGCGCAACAAGACTGTGAATGGGGCGTGATCCTAAGAAATGTTATTTATGCCATGCCTTTGCCATTTCGCAGGGGTTTCCTGCTGCCCCAGTCCGTCCGGCTGGCCTTATCAGGGCTTGGCTTCTTGCTTCCATTCCTCCGCTACTCTCTTTCTTCTTTCACCCCCATTAACTTTGAAAGCAGCCAACCAAACAAAGCCAAATGCATTGAAAGCGTCCAAGACCCATGTAGTTTGCGGATCCCATGTCGCCTTGTGACCTGCCCTGCTGCGTTCGTGCTTGATCCTGCGAGAGATTGCTAGTCATCACCAAGCCTCTAAGAGAAAGACCCGTAAAACTCATGATCGGAGTGGTTCTTATTCTTGTGATTCAATGATGACAGCAGTGCTCTATCCGGCCCGTCAACGTCGTCTCCTCGGAGCCTGGCTGCTGACTTTTCGCGGTGGCCAGTTCTACATGCATGGTGAAACAAACACATTCATGGCTGCGGAGGTTCTGCAGTCAGGAGTTGCTAAGCTGAAGTTCTTGGTGTACCATCACTTGCCCTGCAGCCATCAGAGGGTCGATCTACGAATTATCCGCATAAACTCGTCCTCGCTCACTTCTCCATCGTCGTCCTTGTCAGCCTCACGGATCATTTCCTGAAGCTCTTCGTCTGACATAGTTTCGCCAAGCTCACGAGCAACAGCCTGCCAGGGACCAGGGAAGGCCAAAAGCAACAACTTCGGTGTCAAGGCAGCAAAGGCAGCACAAAACAGCCCACGAAGACGCCACACCTGCTACTTAGAGACTCCAAAGGAGATAGTCAATGTAGCCCTGGTGCCCCTTGCGCAGGAGATCTGAGCTGCCCTTTGCACCTTCCCCCTTTCCCCCAACCTTGTGAGCCTATCAATATCGAATGCAGGTCTTACCTGCAGCAACTCAACACGGCAGCTGCAATTAAACTTTCCGCGGCCTTCAAATCCTCGAACGATATCTTGCCACTAGGCCCCTTGAAGAGCTGAAAGGCCTTAGTCCAAGCAAAGCCAATAGCATCAAGACAGCATCTCACTACAAATGGCAAGACCCAAAGATTCCTTGCTTAGTCCAGGAAGCTTTCAGGATCTGCTCCTTGGAATCCTTCTCGCTCATCTTCGCGGTCATGATCTCCTCAACAGCTTTGTCCCTCGTTATCCCTCATTCACGAAAGAACCAAGTGAGAACTAGTGCCCCCAAAAAGCCCGGAGGCATCTCCCTAGTGCAAAAGCTTTTCCTGTGCTTATGTAGTGGGAGCACACGCTGCGCAGCTGCTATGAAAGTGTTTCTTGCTCTGGGCTCTTGAACATTGAGCATTGGGCGGCACTTTGACGGAAGTCTGCTTCTTAGTCAGCTGCATTCCATGAAGTGGAAATGGAGCTAAATTAGTCAAAGCGCCCAGGCCCCTTTCATGCATGCGCACATCCAAGGCCAACAAAGCAAAGAGAATGCTGCAGGCTTGTACAGGCTTGGGCTTCCCCTCCCCCCAGTCTCCAGGAACTCATTGAAGTCTAACATGCCCTGGGCGTGGGAGCTGCTGCCTGGGCCAGCAGATCCAAAGAACAAGTTGCACTTACAATCAAAACATGTCCACAAAATCGGCTTTACACTGCCATGTGACACTAGCGGCTACGATGACAACGATATCACCTACTACTACGGCTAACTACTACTACTACTACTACTGCTACTACTACTACTACTACTGCTACTACTACTGCTACTGCTACTGCTACTGCTACTGCTACTGCTACTGCTTCTACTACTACCACTACTACTACTACTACTACTACCACTACTACTACTACAACTACTACTACAACTACTACTACCACTACTACTACCACTACTACTACCACTACTACTACCACTACTACTGCTGCTGCTGCTGCTACTACTACTACTACGACGACGACGACGGCGAGGACGAATATTACTAGTACTCATACCAATACAAAGCTGCTGCTACCACTGCTGCTTGTGCTGCTGGAAAGCTACTGGTGCTACTGTTATTGCTATCTCTAGTTCTACTCTGCCTCTACTTCTGCTTCTACTTCTACTTCTACTTCTTGCACTTCTACTTCTTCTGGGCCTTCTTTGACTATTACCGCGTGTCTTCAACAGCGTGAGTGCTAGCAACAGCAGAAGAATCATTCTACCATCACAGCTGAACAGTGTTCAGGATGTTGCAGAACATTGGGGACGTTGGGATGTGCTTCTTGAAGCTGGCACTCATGGAGCATTGTGAACCGTCCGAACTCTTCGAGCTGGGCAAGTCACTCTTGTCCAGGTCAGAGACGAGCTTTTTCAGCTCTTCCTGCATGCTAGGAAGTTGTGTGCATGAATCCCCTCTACCCTGGACGGCAAGATTCTGCCTCCGTATGCAAGCGCATGGGACAAGTTCAAGGTTCAGACAGATCCCTAGACCTGCTTATGTTGTGCCAGAGGTCTCTCAAAGAGCATGAAGGTTCAACAACGGATCAAAAGTTGCGACATTACAAGTTTCAGAAGAGTGCCCATGCAGCCAACATGCACGCATCATCCTCAGCTTCTTTCAGAAGCAGTTTGGGCATGCTTGGGCCCAACAGCATCCCGACATATGAACCTCACCCTGCAAGGAACACAACCCCAGACAACTGAAAAATCCAGCTCGAGCTTAAACATCCCGAGCCACCCTCTAACTGTGCCCACATTGCCTTCTTTGGCTCGAAGCCGAGTGCCCGCAGAGCCACCTTCAGCTCCTGGCCATACAGGGCAATCTGGCCTCAGAGCCTTGCTTTGGTAACGGTAAAGTTCACCGCTCGCGGCTCAAGTCATGGCCAGTGCCTTGGCCTCAATTGTGCCCGTACCATCTGTATCAAAGAGGTCGAACGCTTCCTGCCAGCAAAGCTACACTGGAGAAGAGTTGGACAAATTGCAGAGACACTTTGACCTTGTATGTTTTTCTTGCAACTGCATCTGCAAGATGCCACCAGCAAAGAAGTCTTGTCAAGTCCCATTCAAGGTCCTTGATCTCTGCTTTCTGCTCATCTTTCAGCTCTGTCCTTCGAGCTGCCGTGTGCACAGCTTGCTCACAGGTGACGGGTCCAAGGTTTTTGCCACTGACATTTCTAACATCCTCATACGCAGCAATTAATCGAACACATTCCCTAAAACCAAGTCCTTTGTCGTGCTCGCACCTTCTTCACCTTTGGTGCCATCCTGGAGCCTAGGCCCAGATTTCGGGAGCGATTAGCCCAGAGCGGGACCTGTTGAGCCAATGCCACGGTTGCAGGTGAAAGTCTAACGTGGAGCACAAGACCATATGCACCGGCTGAGCAGGAAAACATCACAAGGCAAACAGGAATTCGTAGCATGTGCTAAGTCGAAGCTATTTCGCATCCCATGGCAATAAGTGTCATCAGAGGCTCTGGCTGTCGCAGAGCTGCAGCCCTGACCAAAGCCATCAAAGCCACACAAAGCACCCACCGCCGGCTTGAAGAGTCAGCTGGAAATGTTGAGGGCCTTCTGGAGATCAACGCTGAAAGCCCACGAGGCCCGCTTCCTGAGCAAGCAGCACATGCATTTGAGACAGGAAATGATCTGGGTTGTAGGCGCCAGGCACCTCAAAGGCGAGGGCAGCACTGGCGCCAGCAAGAAAGACAGCTGCTACCTGGGCTGCATCCTGACTCCCACCTGACCCGATAGAATGAAGCGGATGCAAGCCTTTGGGCGCCCTATCAGCCAAGAGCCCAGCAGCTGCAATGTATACATCGCATCTCGTCCCACGGATGAAGATGATGTTGAGCCTAAGGCGGCCAGCACATACACGAGATAATGTGTTGAATGCTCATCTCCAACAGTACTACCTTGTAAATCGTCAGCACGGAAAGAAATCTCAGTCACCGGCGCTGCGACGGCAGCCAGACTCAGCTGATGCAATTCTTTACTTTGGACAGCCAACAACCTGCCCCATCAAATGTTGCTTGCGCAGCCCACGAGTGGAAAACCACAAGTTAACTTTGTCGGAATATTGCAAGACGGCGCTAAGGCGCTAGCACTGCATCATACCACAAAATTTGACCTCAGAACATGACAAAACAGCATATTAACTTCTCAAAGGATCAAGATCTCCATGTCCCGTGGAGCTGGCACAAGCCTTCAATAGGAGCTCGCTGAAACCAGAAACCGAACACATCCATGGCAGGCGAGCGTTTTACTTGCAGGGCATGCTCAAGTCAGCGAAGCATTTGTGGAATGAGCTCCTGAAAGAAGTCCTGCATCTCCAGTAGATCGTGGCGATAAGCTGCGCGCATGCGTTGCGAGACTTTCCAGCCCTCCATGCTGTTGATCTTGGCCAGGAGGTCGGCCGAGGAGGAAAAGCGAAGCATCTCCGGCAAGAGCAGATATTCGGAGTACTCTGCCCAGTAAGCCCTTGCCTGGGAACCACGTGCTTCTGACAGGCTACGTGTCGTGTCCGAAAACGGATCGTAAGGATGAATGGATGCTACATGTTCCCGATTGCTTAGCGGATCAGGGAGGTTATAAGGGTATGGCATCAATCGCATGTTCGAGATGTGCACCAAATTGCGAAGCAAAGATAATTCCGGCACGGCCAACGGAACGTGCATCTTGAAAAGGTGCCGCAGCATGCACAGCTCAGGCGACCATGGAAGGATGACAACGGCATGGAACCCAGCTAGTTCACGAAAAGGAATGATGCGACCCATCTGGGCAATGATCCGATACGGAAACTTTGGACCAGCCATGAATTGCAATGAGGTCAAGAATGTCGTCTCATACTTCAGACGTCCACGGTTATGGACAAGCAGTTCGGCTCCTCGATGTCTCAAGCCCAAAGGAGCGTATGTAGCATTGACCCACACCGACATGGGTCGGAGGAATGGAACTTCGACGTTGGTCTGCCAAAAGAACTGCTCACTTCGGAACAATGATTCTGCTGCAATGAATGTCTCTCCAGTCACAGCCCGTCTCGTCAAAGACCGTACACCTTCCCAATAGGAATCAACCATTGCACTCTTGCCGAACAGCACGTCTTCACCCAGTGCCATCAGCACAGGGGGCCCAAAAAAAATGATGAGCCGTGCCAACGGAAAACGTCGCGACATCTGAATGGCATCAAGGAAGGACGTGCACGTCACAAGGTCGGGATGCACGGACCGGCCAACGGTATCATAAAACCAGAGCCGTGGGTCGCGCGGATGAAGACCGTTTCGTGCCTCAAACATTTGCCGTCGTTCCCGACCATGCTTGACATCTGGCCTTCCCCAGCGGCGCACCCAGCCAGGTCGTTGCCTCCTCCGTCTGCGGCGGTGACGTGCGGTACTGCGAAGCTGCCTGCGCTGTTTGATTTGCTCACGGTGCCGAATCACACTAGGACAAAGCAGGTCCATGACGCGAGATCCCTCAGTTTTTGCACAAACCTTCCGGATAGATCCTTCCAACACAAACTGTGGCTCAAGCCATGTTGGGAACAGCCTGAGCAGCAGCTCTGGGATCTCCAAATCCAGCGCGCCATGTTGAGACACTATACCCAACATCCTCACCCTTCGAGACCATCCTGGCATCAACTGCAGGCGGGAGATGGTCAAGTCAGGGACTTTATGTGGTGGGCCAATTTTCTGCCAAGGAAAGGCACGACCTGCTGGAAGGTCAGTGGTGGCGAAGGCCAGCACACGGGCTCGAGCAGTCATATAATCCCCGGCTAGCCTTCCCCAAGACGTGACCCCTTGTGGATCTGCCCCTGTATGGCGCCGTGCTGCGCATGGCATCCTTTTGGGCACGGGATCTGGGGTCCGTCTTGGGGAGCCTATAACTGTGGTGGCCCTTGCTTGGGATTCCGGCATTCCGAATTCCCCACCTTGCAACGGCCTGTGAAGGAGCTGCTCCACAAATCGCGTGCTAACACCTGGCCAGCCCGGAGCTGCAGTCAAATCCAACAGGCTCAAACCTTCTTGCAGAAAAATGCCGTTGATCAAAAAGCCCATCTCCACACGCCAAAGGAGAAATCCATCTTCTGTGTCGTTGCTGCTTTGCCAATATGTGCTTGTACCTAGTATGTTGAGTGCCCGCCCAAGTACGCACAATGCAGCCATGAGGCCATGCAAGCAAGATCCTCCAAACATGTTGACGGTCTCTCCAGGAGACACGACATGGTCCAAATGAGCGGACACCACTTCTGCCAAGACATTTCCCTTGACGCTTGTGGAGCCGACTTTGTTGAAAGATCTGTGTGGCACAGCAGCCTCAGCTTCTGACGTCCCTTCCCTAATTTTTAGGTCCTGTTTTCTCCAAATTTCGGTGATCAGCTCTGCTTCCTTCACCAGGTCCCAATGTTCTGGCTCTGCTACCCAGGCCTGTTCATCGCCAAAATTCCACTTGCCACCCTCAATATGGGACACGAATTTTTTGCGAAATCGGTCCCATGGCTCACCGTCACAGTTCACCCAGTCCACATATGACTTGTTCAGCACACCTTCTGCTACCAGCCAGCCCCAAAACTCTTGAGGAGCAGCTGCTGTTGCACCGCTGACCGTTCCAGCTGGCGGGGGTCGTGTGTCCAAACATGCTCCTGGTGCAAGTAAGATGGCTAGGCTGAACAAACTGATGGGCAAGCTTCCTTTGGCTGCTGCCGCCCGGCTTGTCCATGGCATGGCGGAAAAAACAACATTGGCACCACAGCCATGGGGAAAGACATGTAATTTTGCTTTCCTCATGGCACTACATCACTATAGGTAAACTTGGCATCCTTTACAACAATCTGGGGGCCCTGACTTGCCATCTGGTGGTTCAAGCTTGGCAGAACATATGAAGCAGCTTGTGGTCCAAAATCTTGCACCGAGAGGACCGAGAGTGAACAACTGAAGCCAAACCCACCGAACCACAGAACTTCCTACACGTCCCGTCTAGAAAAGAACTTGGCAAGCTCTTCCAAGAGGACTGGCAACAAAAAATAAGCTGAGGCCCACGCGTTGCAAATTGGGGAAAAACAGTGCCCCGGCACCACCGCCAAGTGGTCCCAGCATCGAAGCCCACCCTGCATCAAGGTTGCCACCAAAAAGTTTGCAGGCCAACTCCGACTACTGTCCAACTATCCTCAATTTTAATCATGAACTGTGTTTTTGGCATTTGCTGCTATATGCTGCTATGTTATGAGCGGCCCGAACAAGACTGTCCAATCGTCACACGTTTCGCAGGTAACAAACGAAATAATCTTGCTAATGGCTTGACGCACGGCATAAGCATGTGGCTCAAAGTAGGGGACCGGTCTCGCGTGCGCACATGTCAACAGAACAACTGCCCAGCCTTCATGCGGAACCACCGTATGGGCTGCCAGCAGAAAGCTGCCTCCGCAAGACATTGACATGCATACATCAAGACTGGAGCCTTGGCGGTCTGCAGGCCCCGAACCAGTTCCACATGTGCACCTGACGGTAAACAACGCCAGCTCATTCACATGCATGCGATGGACACGCTGAGAGTCTGACAGCGAAAGTCCCATTACCAGCCGTGCCCATTGCGATAATGCCGGTTTCTGCATTGAAGGGACAAACCGCTTGCTTGTTGTTTGCACTCCTTGTTGCAAACAGTCTATGCCAACGACAATATCCTGCTGCACAGCGGCATGCCAGGCAATACCAACGCAACAGCACGTGCCTGGGATACATGTTGTGTGACATCACAGTCAACAATGATTATTTGTGCATACATGTGACGTCAGCAATCACCAAGAAAACCTCCTCGAACATCAAGGTCTGAGCCCAAAACATCATTTTTTACGGGGGCTTAGGTTCTCAGTGGCCAACATGCACTCAAGAATCATGTTGCTGTCAAGTCGTTGTGCAATAGCATAAGCAAAGCTGAAGAACATATAACAAAGGATGACCGCATCAAACAAAGCAAATGAAAATGGTTGGCGTAAAATGTTTAATCTTTGAGGGGCTGGGCGGGGGTGAATATTATTACTCAGGGGTCTATTGTGGGTGGCGTGATCCGCAGGGGTTGATAAGGGTTTGGGGTTTAGGGGTTAGGGATTGTAGCAGCGCATTTTCGGATAGAGAAGTGGCACCCCATTGTTGTTAACACCCTTAATAGACAATACTAGTTACTAGCATTGGTACTAACATCATGAATGATATTGTCATGGGGGAGTGGCGGTCCTGCTCCCGATTATCACCTACTCATCACCCGTTCTCGCAGTTTGCATAAAGATCGGGATCCCAATGTAACCCCAAATTACGATAATCTCCAAAACTCTAAACCCTGAATCCTAAATCCTGAACCTCTAAACCCGAACTAAGCGCCTAAACCCCTTGAACCCTAACAATCAACGGCTACCCACCACTTGAGCTTTTCGCAAGAGCAAGCCCCAGTCTCATCTGTAGACACCATTCCGATCCCTGCATTTTGAGCGTGTCCCTGGCTTACCTGGCCATGGCCATAGGACAAACAATCGAAGCTTCAAGTAGGTTTAGGGATTTAGGGGCTTAGGGGGTAGGGTTCAGGGTTTACGGGTTTAGGGTGATTTTCCAGTTTTTGGGTGGTACAAACACATGCAGTACAGCAGCCTAGTGGAGACACCTGAGCATGAATGGATAGACTAAGATTTCAGGGGCAGCCCTGTGACTCAGGCTTTCGGATGTACGAGTAGGGTTTAGGATGCAGGGTTTAGGGCACCCTGCTCTGAACCCAGGAATCCTTTCTGAAAAGGTGGAAAAAACTTGATGATTTCCAGCTCCTGACCAAGCTGAGCCCATACTCCTAGAAAAGAAGCCCTATGACAACGTTGTTGCTTGCAGGCTGGTGTGTATGTAGTCTAAGCAGCACATGATCACCAAGCTCGATCCTAAACGCTTAAACCCTACCAATTTCCGTCACAACTGGGAGCTTACAGAACCACAGGCAGAGTGGCGTGAATGTCTAGTAACTCTAGGACCTCCCCAAAAGTAATCACCTTCCCCTGACAATAAGCCTCTAAACCCACTAATATTCAATATAGTCCCCCTTAAGTGGATAGAATATGGCTTTGGGTCTATTATAGTAAGATCCCCGTATACCCCATATTGAAACTACTTAAGGGGGACTATAGATACTCCCAATACATTGTACATGCACACTTGTACATACATACCAGGGGAATAGTTTTCAAAAGGGAGTATATCTTGACTGGGAATAGGTGAGCAACATGGCCTCTCACAGGGTAAAGGGTGTTTATGGGGTTATACAGGGGGATCATGGGGGGTTATATAGGGATAATGGAAAAAATAGTGGAAACCCTAAACCCTAAACCCTAGGAATAATAACATCATGTCCCAAATCCAGCGAACCAGCGAATGCAGCAAGAAGACGGTTCTCAAGGCACCAGGTACTAAGGGTCACGAAGATTTTCAAGATCACCAGAAACAACATGCCCGGTGGACATCTCAAATGTTAAACGGCATCCCACACCCCATGTACACCTCTAACGTGTGAAAGCTTGAATGGGAATGCCAGTTTTTCACGGTCTTGGGTTTCGTCGATGTTGGAAGTTGGCGTCGAGGGATATGGTCACTTGCTGGGCCATTTACAGGTGGCGAGTGGCGGTCCTTGCTTCGAAGTCACCATTAAAAGGTGATTGTCTAGTAGCTCGCAAGAAGAAAGGTATTGCTCTGAAAACTAGAACAAGCAGCTACATTCAAACTGCACAGCACGCGAGCTATGTTTGCTTTAGATTACTGCAATGCGCGGTAACTGCAGTGCACGGTTGGATTTTCTGAAATGATGCGCTGACTTGCATCATGGTTAGTCAGCAGACAAGGTACGACGTGCGCAACGATGCTCAGTTGCTGCATTCACGGATAACACGTTTTGGAGCTCGTGATGTTGCATGGAATGGAGTCGAACTAGCCCTGAGAGCGTAGAGGTTTTAGGGAAACTCAAGAATGCACTGGAACGAACACAATCACAAGGATGCTGATGGCCGAAGCAGGATGGCAACCCTGCTCGGCATTGACTGCGTGCGCTCCACAATGTCCTCTATTTCAGGTTCGTCATGAAAAAACATGCTGCCAATTGCGAACGCGTTCATGTATTTTGGGGTATATGCTATACATAATGGATCTGAAAACCACTTGGCGAACCAACGGGCCCACAAAACCTAAGAAGCTTACTTTCGCAGAATGCAAATGTGAGCCAAAATGCTTGCGACAGGCTTTTCATGGACATCCGCATCTTTCAGAACATGAGGTATCTACGGGTCCTTCATGAGATATGTTGACCAGTCAACAAGCGAGCAACCCTGCGATTCTTTCAGCAAAAGCAACACACACAAGTTCAAGATTACAAATGACTGAGCATTTCTGCAAAACGTAGGAGTGGTGCTACCAAAACGCACCAGCATCAAGCCTTAAAGCTTTGGGAACCCTCTTACCCTCGCCCTGCTTCCTCCCAAGCCGTGCAAAACAGCGAACGAACTCGAATTAAGCCCGGACGGCCATTGAACTGCTTACTGCTGATTAGCAAGGAACAAGTAATAAGGGCATATAATCCCTTTCCTTGTAGAATGTAACCCCCTATTCCCTACCAACCACTAGTAAGGTCTACTTGTGTTAGTGCCGTGTTGGCGTGAGTGCGCAGTCCAATGACCGCGATCAGGCCTGTATTGTCCTCACTTCTCGTGATGCTGCCTTGGCCATTTCCACTAAAAGAAACTGGCACAGGAAACGTTTTGTGGCGGAATTGCACAGCTTGTGTTGCGCATTCAGATATGGTCATGGCGCGTACGACTACTGCACCACACCGCAAGCATGATCGTCCCCCGGCCCGCTGCTCGATGTTGGGAGACAGCAGGGGGACCGTCCCCCTGCTGTCTCCCAACACCGAGCAGCGGGCACGTAAGGTAGGTAACATCGTTTAACATCATTGGCCCGCGCATCGGAACGAGCATGGAACGAAATCCTCGAACCGACCGCAACAGTGGCACCTTCTGACATATGCATGTTTCACAACATGTTTATCACGATCTTCGTACATCCATTGGATCACGTGCGGCCCCCAATTTTGAGCAACGCAGACAGAAACCTCAGGTGAAGCCCCATGTCTGGTTTGAAGAACGAAAGCGGCCACCATGTTAACATTCAAATTCAACTGCACGCTAATCAATCTACATCTTGCCGCAATTCTTTCCGTGCACATGCTGACTCTTGCAGCTGGATTCGGAGCTCTTGCCGTGTAGCATTCCAGCTGATGCGGAAGCCGTCGGAATTTCAAAAAGCAGCTGATTCCTGTACTCTCAGCCAATGCATGTTCATCTGTGGCTGTCTTGCTTCGTGACTCATCAGGGGGCTGTAGCTTTGGCGTACTGGGCAGACAGCCAAGAAAGAATTTGCAAACAGAGGTTAGAAGGTATTATCAAGCTGTACATTACATACGAGCACCCATCCCAAAGCGCTCCGAGCCCGATTTAGTTCGGGTCACCTCCTTGACCACTTCCTGTGCCCTCTCAATTCGCTCTTCCAGTTGCCTGAGCTCTGCTTGGAACACCGGGAGAATGCAAACGTTACCCGCCTCTTGGGGTTTGAGCCAAAAACCCAAACTGCCTGGAACCTTATGAGCAAAATAAATCCCTACTCTGCATATCCAATACGTCAGAGATACATCCACGTGTAGCCCCCACCCTCCTTATAGAACTCAACCAATCCTCAAGCCCCCTCCCCACAACAACCGAGTGGCTGCTTCACAACTGCCAAGATCCATTGCACCATGACTTGCCTCACGTGGCTGTTGACGTGCTGGAAGCCCACCGTGTCACGAATGAGTCCTTCACCACATAGGCCGGGAAGGCCGAAAGGGCTTAAAGAATCTGTATAATCCGGGTTTAAAGGGGATGTAATGGAGAATATTGGGGGGTGTAATGATGTATATCAGAGTATACCTTGGGGGAAGGATATTGATGATATTGATAGAGTGCTCTGCAACACGGAGGGCTGCTGGACAGGATTTTCGGAAAGAGAAGGGCTTCGCGCCTGCACTTGATACGAAAGGCCTGAGCTGCTACAGGAATGGTGTTTAGGGTTTAGGGTTTAGGTGGCTGTCAAAATTATGGTCCCTTTTTGGATCCCTATTATAATACGGCACCCAATATTTAGGGCACCTGAAAAGGGACCATAATCTTGACAACCACCCTAATATAACCTCAATATAGAGCCTGTTTCCATGTTCTTTTCCATTTTCCCTATATAACCCCTATATAATCCTAGTAATTAGTGCCTACCCGTCAGTCCTTTCACTTTGGCCTCATCTTCCTTCTTCCATGCCTCTGAACACTGAGACTTGGACCCGACCGGGGTTCCTTGTACTAAAACTATTATTACCCTAAAACCAAGTACCTAATTATTGGGTACTTGGACCCTAAACCCTAAACCCTGAACCCTAAACCCTGGGATTTATCTTGGGATTGTAGAAGGATCCTCAAGAGCTTTGCTGCGGATCTAATTGTCAATCCCTTTGGGGGCTCTGCCTCTGCATGTTCGGAGTCAACGTTGCTAAGCGACTCGGTAAGACGCCGTATGCCATCTTCACCTCGCAACATTTGATCTTGGGCGGAATCCATTGCCGCCCTTGGCATAATAAATGTCACTGGGATGTTGAGCTTGGTGGCCACAAACTGCTCGTAGACGGTCCATATCCTCAAACATGTGGCCAAAGCAACAAGAAGATTCTTACTGATAGAACCGGTGGAACTGCAGAACCCTTGACAACAAAACGGATTTGAAAAGACTAGGCTTTTGGGGTCCAAGTTGCCTAGTGAGGTATGTAGGCTGGTCCCAAGTATCGAGAATTGCTACCATCTGGCCTACGCGTGTAAGGTTGCTTTCGAAAATGTTCTCCAGTTCCTCGCTTCCCACTCCGGATGCCTCCAGCAAAATCCGATGCTGGTTGTTGACGAAAAAACACATGTAGAAAAAGGCGTCGCTTGTCGACTCTGACTGGAAGACTGCCACTGCGCTATGTATTTGCGACAGCTTGTACCGCCAAGTCCAGGAAATGAAATGTGTTTGTTGCCCTCGCTCCAGTCTTGGCATCCAATCCACGAGCGCACAGCCCGGGCGACCATCTCGTGGGCAGTTGACATCTTGACCTAGTGGATCATCACATAGCCAGAAGGCATCCTTCATGTCATTGAAGTCTGGATCCGCCTTACCACTTCGCTGTGATGCCAATGATGCGAAGCTGTCGGAGAGAAGGTATCGAGGACTTACTCCTGCTGTTTCGCTCTGGCGTGCCTTCATGTCTTGCACCTGTTTCTGAATCTCCGTATCTGTCATGCCCATCCTCTGCAAAGCAGATCTATGCCTCTCAATCTCTGGAAACTCCTCCCATAAGTCCTGGTACATCTTGTCCTTAGCACTTGTGTTGAAACTTGTTTTGTGGTGTCTATGTCCTTAAAATGTTTCAGATAGCTCGATTTCTCTGGCCTGGCACTGCCACAAAAGCTTCGAAGCACCAGCTAGAGTAAGCAGATGGCTGTCAGGGCTTGAATAATTTTGTAGGAGCCACAAAGAATAGTCACAAATAACATCCATCAATGCTTCCTTTATAATTGCAGTAGAAAAAGCCCGTGACCGCGTTGAAACCATTTCGGCGCCTTTGTTAGATACTGATACTCATCTTAGGGTAGACCTTCAAGGCTCTAAATGATGGAAATAAGGCCGATGGAGGCTGCAACGTTACAAATAGCTTCATGTAGCTTCCGTCTGCCTTTGAACGAATGATGGAAACAGAAATGGAAATTTCTGTAGGGAGTGCCAACCCAGTATCCAATGTGGCTTCCACCTTGGCCGCCTTCCTGGAACGGCGGCAGACCAACAAGAAGCGGACCGAAACCATGACAAAGGTGACGCCAACGGTCACCACCAGAAAGGGCCATAACTCACAGCCGTCCTCTTGGAGCAAGAAGGGAAACTGGCACGGCTGGCAAAAACCTGCCTTGGAGACTGTGCCTGGTGGGCAGTCCTGACAAGTTGCGCCGCTTGAGGATGGAATCGAGCCTTTGCTGCAGGCCTCACAGTGACTGGAGCCTTCTGCGGCAAAGTGCCCCATGTCACAGATCTTGCAGCCAAGTCCGTTACCTGCAGGGGCAGACCCTGCCGGACATGGTGGCCGGTGGAAGGAAGATGCGCCATGGAAGATCCGGTCAATGTTGGACCTGGGGGCCATCTGCCAAGAAGACAACTGCTGGTTGAAGGAAGTTGCGTGAGAAAACATACTGCTCGCGTCTTTCAGCTCTGTCGTGTTCCAGGAGCTAATCGGCTGATTGAAAGCAGCTGCACCATGAAACATGGATTTCATGGTGGTCACAGATGAGGTGTCCCAGGAGCCAATTGGCTGATCGAAGGCTGTGGCTCTGTAAAACATGTGAGACATGTTTACCGCAGTTGAGGTATCCCAGGAGCCGATAGGCTGATTAAACACAGCTGCCCCGCTAAACATCTCCTGCAAGCTTGTGACCGATGCGGTGGTCCACAAGTTCAAAGGCTGATTGAAAGCGGATGCTCCCGAGAACATGCCAGCCATGTCTTTCAAGGACGACGTGTCCCAGGTTCCAATCGGCTGGTTGAAAGCGCTGGCGTTTCGGAACATATCTCGCATAGTCACCACGGAAGTTGTATTCCAAGTGCCGATAGGCTGGTTGAACATGACTGCATCATGGAACATGCTAGTCATCTCTGTCACGGCACCTGTCCTCCATGCATCCAGCGGCTGATTGAAAGAAGAAACACCCTGAAACATCCTATTCATGAGCGTGACAGCTGATGTATTCCAAGTGGAAAGAGCCTGATCGAAAGCCGTTGCGTGCATGAATTGGCTGCTCATGTCCGTCACCAGTGAGGTGTCCCATGCAGAAAGAGATTGGTTGAAAGAAACAGCTTCGTGAAACATGTAGCTCATGTCACGCACGCTTGACACCTCCCACGAGTTAATAGGCTGATCAAAGGCAGCTGCGCCATCAAACATGCGCCGCATGTTGGTGACTGATGAAGTGTCCCATGAGCCAATTCCCTGATTAAAGGACTGCGCCTCCTTGAACATTCTCTTCATATCAGTGACAGACGTCGTATTCCAGGCTGTAATGTTTTCATTGAAAGCTAGGAGGTCTTCGAAGAGGCCACTCATGTCAGTCACAGCTGAGACCTCCCAGTAAGAGATTTCGCCATAGGTAGACCGCAGCTGAATCCTTCCTTGGCATCAACATGCCAAAAGAACACAATCACCATATCTTCTTGTAGGGGCCTGCGTATTAGAAACCTCCTCCCCTTGTTATTCAATATACAAGGTCTATTTTGGGTATCCCCCAAAAATATCCCAATAAAGCTACACCCAAACCCTAAACCCTAAACCCTTCACCTTAAACCCTAAACCCTAAACCCTAATATACCTCTCTTTTTTGGCGGGGCTTCGCTCCTCATGGAACTCCCAAGCCAAGACGGCTCTCCGCAGCTCGGACCTTGGCCAG